GTGACAATACTGGTGCAATTGCCTTGGCAAAGGAATCCAGATTTCACAAAAGGACCAAACACATCAAGAGACGCTTCAACTCCATCCGGGATCTAGTCTAGGTGGGAGACATAGAGATTTGCAAGATACATACGGATCTGAATGTTGCAGACCCATTGACTAAGCCTCTTCCACGAGCAAAACATGATCAGCACCAAGGCTCCATGGGTGTTAGAATCATTACAGTGTAATCTAGATTATTGACTCTAGTGCAAGTGGGAGACTGAAGGAAATATGCCCTAGAGGCAATAATAAAGTTATTATTTATTTCCTTATAATCATGATAAATGTTTATTATTCATGCTAGAAGTGTATTTACCGGAAACATAATACATGTGTGAATACATAGACAAACAAAGTGTCACTAGTATGCCTCTACTTGACTAGCTCGTTAATCAAAGATGGTTATGTTTCCTAACCATGAACAATGAGTTGTTATTTGATTAACGAGGTCACATCATTAGCAGAATGATCTGATTGACATGACCCATTCCATTAGCTTAGCACCCGATCGTTTAGTATTTTGCTATTGCTTTCTTCATGACTTATACATGTTCCTATGACTATGAGATTATGCAACTCCCGTTTACCGGAGGAACACTTTGGGTACTACCAAACGTCATAACGTAACTGGGTGATTATAAAGGAGTACTACAGGTGTCTCCAATGGTTGATGTTGGGTTGGCGTATTTCGAGATTAGGATTTGTCACTCCGATTGTCGGAGAGGTATCTCTGGGCCCTCTCGGTAATACACATCACATAAGCCTTGCAAGCATTACAACTAATATGTTAGTTGTGAGATGATGTATTACGAAACGAGTAAAGAGACTTGCCGGTAACGAGATTGAACTAGGTATTGGATACCGACGATCGAATCTCAGGCAAGTAACATACCGATGACAAAGGGAACAACGTATGTTGTTATGCGGTCTGACCGATAAAGATCTTCGTAGAATATGTAGGATCCAATATGGGCATCCAGGTCCCGCTTTTGGTTATTGACCAGAGACGTGTCTCGATCATGTCTACATTGTTCTCGAACCCGTAGGGTCCGCACGCTTAAGGTTACGATGACAGTTATATTATGAGTTTATACATTTTGATGTACCGAAGGTTGTTCGGAGTCCCGGATGTGATCACGGACATGACGAGGAGTCTCGAAATGGTCGAGACGTAAAGATTGATATATTGGAAGCCTATATTTGGATATCGGAAGTGTTCCGGGTGAAATCGGGATTTTACCGGAATACCGGGAGGGTTACCGGAACCCCCCGGGAGCTATTTGGGCCATAGTGGGCCTTAGTGGAAAAGAGAAGGGGCTGCCCTAGATGGGCTGCGCGCCCCCCCTTTCCCCTAGTCCTATTAGGACTAGGAGAGGTGGCCGGCCCCCTCCTCCTCTTTTCCCCTCCGAGGAATCCTAGTTGGACTAGGATTGGATGGGGAATCCTACTCCCAGAGGGAGTAGGACTCTCCTGCGCCTCCCCCCCTTGGCCGGCCAGCCTTCCCTCCTCTCCTCCTTTATATACAGAGGCAGGGGCACCTCTAAACACACAAGTTGACACAAGTTGATCCACGTGATCTATTCCTTAGCCGTGTGCGGTGCCCCCTGCCACCATATTCCTCGATAATACTGTAGCGGAGTTTAGGCGAAGCCCTGCTGCTATAGTTCATCAAGATCGTCACCACGCCGTCGTGCTGACGAAACTCTTCCCCGACACTTTGCTGGATCGGAGTCCGGGGATCGTCATCGAGCTGAACGTGTGCTCGAACTCGGAGGTGCCGTAGTTTCGGTGCTTGATCGGTTGGACCGAGAAGACGTACGACTACTTCCTCTACGTCGTGTCATCGCTTCCGCAGTCGGTCTGCGTTGGGTACGTAGACAATACTCTCCCCTCGTTGCTATGCATCACATGATCCTGTGTGTGCGTAGGAAAATTTTTGAAATTACTACGAAACCCTTCACGTGGACCCCGAGGTAAACCCCGACGCCTTGCACGAGTATCTCGCATTGTGGACATGGGTTGCCGGCATTCCGCTGGATCTGACGAGGCAGGATGAAGTGGTTTGGTCCTGGGAGACGAACGACATATACACCACGCGATCAGCCTACGCGGCAAAGTTTTGGGGAAGGGAGGTGGATCAAATGGCGGAATTCACATGGAAAGCTAGGGCTCCGCTACGGTGCCGATTCTTTGCGTGGTTGGCCCTGCAGAATAGATGCTGGACATCTGCCCGCCTGGCAAGGAGAGGCCTTGATCACCAAGACAATTGCCCGCTCTGCAACAATGAGGAGGAAAGCATCGAGCACCTATTCATCCGTTGTATCTTCACCAGGCGGCTTTGGGCTGTGATCTTCCAGGCCATGGGCAAGCCATGTTGGGTGCCCACGATGAACGACACGCTCGCTGGTTGGTGCGCGGTCCAAAACACTAATGAGACCCACAAGAGAGTGCTCAATGCTCTTCGTGTTCTAGCCATGTGGGAGATTTGGAAACATCACAATGCAATTGTGTTCGAGGGTGCTTATCCATCGGTGACCTATGTGCTTCGTCGCTTTGCGGAGGAAGGCCGGAATTGGAAACAAGCGGGTTTACTTAAGGGCGATCTTGCCGGCTTCTTCAACCGGGTGGAATGACGGGTGAGCACGACAAGTTAGCTTCTGAGAAAGTAGAAAGTAGGGTGGAGGTGGTAAGGCTGTACATGTAAATACCGTGTAACAACATTGTGGAGGGCTCTTTCACCCCTTTCCTCTTAATATATATAGTACGCACACTCGTCCGTATTTGAGAAAAAAAAGTTCCTATCATTTCTTCTTCTTGTGATTTTTTCCTTTGGTCTTTTCAGTCGGGTTTCCTTTAAAAAAGAGGAGGGGGGAGGGACGTTAGCAAATTAAAAGTTGTGATTTTTGAAAATGACAAATTTTCAAATAGAAAATAAAATAAAAGTGTTCACGAATTTAAATTTGTTATTGTTTTTATCACAAATTTGGACATTGCTAATGATTTTTAGAAAACTTCTTTTTTTTTAGAAAATTTCACTAATTAAGAAAATATTCACAAATTTTAAAAATGTTTTTGGATTTAGTAAGAAAATGAGAAATGAAAAAGAGAAATACTGGCGGAAGAAAAAAAAGGAAAATATAGAAAGAAAAATCGCAAGAGCACATAGAAAACTGCATCATTTTTTAAGCATTTAAGATCTCCATGTGCGTTTGCTGGCAATTTGTTACAATGGGCGTCATATAGGAAATTCCGGGAAGCTAGGCCTTGGTGGCTCTTTCAGCGCCATTACATCGAAATCACTAATTAAGAAGCACTTTTTGCAAATGCCACTCCCCCCTTTTCAGGTTGCGACAAGTGATGTATTACATGTGTGCCACTTGTCGCAACTTGAGAGTTTCACTTTTTTTTGTATATCCATTTATTCAAAATATTTTATCTCTTAAACTGTGCGTCGAAATCTTGAACCATTTTCATCGTTGGATTCCTCACGTCGATATCTTCACAACTAGATCCCATATTGATAGATTTTGATGGACTTTTTTCCCATGAGAAAAACGCGAACAAAAAAAAACGTAAGAAAAAACCAAAAGAAAAAACCGAATCGGGAGCACCTTTTCTTTCCTTTCCAAAAGAGAAATGACGATGCCTCTCACAGAAGCAAATCCCAGCCTCCACGAGAAGTAAACCTGTGCCTCTCGTGAAAGGAAAAGAAATAAAACATGTTTTTTTTCGTTTCCGATGCCTCTCGCGGAAGCAAATCCGTACCTTTTGGGAAGCAAAACCGTGCCTCTCGTGGAAGGAAAAAAATGTGTTTTCTTTCGTTTTGAGAGGCACACCCATGCCTCTAGCGGAAGGAAAAAAGAAATAATACACGTTTTTCCCATTTCTAAGAGGCACCACCGTGCCTCTCGCGGAAGGAAAAAAAAGAAAACATATTTTTTTCATTTTCGAGAGGCACGGCTGTGCCTCTCGCGGAAGAAAAAAAAAGAAAATGTGTTTTGACACAAATTTTGTTTTCAATTTTTTGCCAGAAGCTAAGGAAGACTGATGGATAACCGAAAAGCAGAAAAAATTCAAAAAAGAAAAACGCGTGCAAAAAAAAAAACTGGAAGGAGCGCCGAGAGCGTAACACGTGGCAACGGTTGAGAGCTCGCCAAGAGGAGGCCCCCGAACGAGTCTCCGATGACATCCATTACAACAACTTACTCCTTGGTTTTGTTTTACTGGGATTGCTGCTATAACGTTTACATAGGTCGGGTCACCGAGCTCTCTCTCGCTCAGCTTACCTCCGTGCTCCACTCACTCGCTTAGGTTTTTTCTGCTCACTCACTGCTAGCTCATAAAAAGCCGGCTACCTTTTTTTAATCTGAAAAACTTCGTTAAATCAAAAAATGTTCATGAATTTGAAGATGGTCTTGGATTTTGATAATTTGGTAAATTAAAAAATATTCATAGATTTAAAAGATGTTCATAAATCCAAAATAAGACTGAAAATTTAAGAAAATGTAACAAAATTAAAATGTATTCTTAAATTTCACACCTTACCGACAGGCCTAGCGTTCCCACAACCCCATGCTCTACGAGACTCCAAATCTAAGGAGCTTAGACAGGCCCAACGTTCCCACAACCCCATGCACCAGGAGACTCCAAATCTAAAAAGCTTAGTATTTATAATGTGTATATTTGATTAAACTCTTGAAATAGGCTTTCCCCCGTTTATAAATATTTGACTAAACTTAAAAATAGTTAACCTTTTTATTGAATTTATTTATACACCATCTGTTTGGAACGGAGGGAGTACTGTACTTGGCCTTGCAACCAAGCATGCGAGCACATTCACGTTGACCAAACCTACGTCCGTGCATGCATGTGTCTCAAAAAAGCGTAAAAGGGAAATCACGAGCGAGCTAGCTGATGAGTGAGCCAGCTGATCATGTAGAGTGGGGTAAAAGTAGGACCTGCAAGCGCATGAGGCGGTCGGCGCTGTGCTTGAGCTGGTGCCGGCGGCTGGAGTAGTCGCGGCGCGCGTCGTCGACGTCGTCCAGGGCGCCTCCGCCGGCAGCGGGGTCGAACTCCCAGACCTGGCGGCCGGCGTGCGCGTTGGTGGTGCGCAGCCACGGCTGGCCGCCGGCCTCCTCCCCGATCCTTAGCCGCCACATCGATCGACGTCGACTCAAACCAGTGGCTCTTCTTACAGCAGGGCAAGTGAGTGAGACGAGAGAAGATACCAAAACGGCCCGTGTTTAAATAGGGCGCTTATAGGCGCCGGCGCAGCCCAGGCCATCGGATGTGAGCCAGGCGGCCGTTGGATCCAGGCAAAAAAAAAAAAAAAACAGATCGCCCCAGCTTCTTCTTCCTCGGCAGCCGGGCTGGATCCGCATCTCCCGCTCGGGGAGCAC